GTTTCAATAGCCTATGTGAATACTCACACCTTAATTAATTCCACTACTACTTTTGTTTTCATATCCACATTCATATGAATATTCACATCTCTACTATTGATGTTAACGTTAGTATTGTAAGTTGTATTTCAATGTTGATGTTTTTGTTTTCATATCCACATTCATGTGAATATTCACATCTCAACTATTGATGTTAACGTTAGTATTGTAAGCTGTATTTCAATATTGATGTTAACAACCCTGTGAATCTTCATATCAATAGTGTGAATGTTCTCAACACTGTTGTTGTTACACACACACAAAAAAAAAAAAAAATGCAATTCTTTGCTCTTGTGGTCTGAATGTGAACATACATGCCAAATAAATTTGTGTTAATGTCAACACATATGTATAATCCATCCACATTCCATTCAATCCTTTATTAGATGTGAATGTTTACATCGTTGTCCATAGATGCGAACATTCACATAAGTGCCTATAAAGATGTGAATGTTCACGCTTGTGCTCAGATATGTGAATGTTCATACCAGTATTTTAAATGTTCGCATCAGTGTTTTCATTATAGGAAATAGTAGACTCAGTTGGTTTTTTTGTATTGCATGAATATTGTGTTAATGTGTATGCCCCATGTAATAGACGTTGTATACAAGCGAAAAATGAACAAATATCATGTCAAAGATGAAAGCCCACCTGCAGCTAACCGCATAAATGTTGACATGCATCGTGTCAACTACAGATCCAACATGACAAACTAGGTGAAATTAATGAAAAGCACAAAGTTTACAGAACCGCAACTTGACTGCTTAAGACAAACCACATTTTGGCAATTATTGGATGCACTCACATTTAAGACAGTTTAGTACAAATAGTTTTGACATATTAGAACAAATTATCAATATTATATAATTTCTTGTATTGCTAACTTTGATTTACCATATATATATATATATATATATGAGTTTTGAGGTCTATTTGGTGTCGATATTTTGGAATATAGACTGTATGAACATTCACATTGAGCTTCTATTCATTTTTTGGAGTATGATAGTTTGATAACAAAAGTGTGAATATTCACATTATGGTAATGAACTAAAAACTTATTCACCATTCAATATTATATGGGTGTGTGAATAATATTAATACCAATTGACAACACAATGACAAATTTTCATTTCAAATTAATATGAATATAATGACAGTCAACATCCTGATACATGGGAACTACCAAAACACAATGGCAATCAATGTCCATGTTTAATTTTTTGTGTGTAATATATGTTAACATTAAATGTGAGGGTATAAGAGTTTAAAAAAATAGTGTAAATCAAGAAAAATGACCTTATAGAATAAAAGTATAAATATATGAAACTAAGTGGGTTATAAATTTCTTTTATGGACTTCTTGGATTATAACACTCTTAAATGGGATTTATCAATAAAAATCCCTTCAAAAGAATATGAATGAGTTCGAAATATTTTTAATTTAATGTTGTTTGGTTGAAAATTTTGAAAAGAGATTTGGGGGGAGGGGGGAGGAGGAAGTGTATGAAATTATGTAAAATGTAAGTATATTTTATTCACATTTCATCTATCTTTTTTCTTTTCTTTTTTAAATCATTTTTTAAATCTCTCAACAAAGTACAACATAAATAATTAAGATAGATCAAATCCACTTCTCTCCTCTCCTCTAATTTATTAGATTAAAAAATACCCTAACAACTTGTTGAATTAGTAATTCGACACATGAGAAGCATTTCACCTTCTCAAAGCATGATCATGATTGGGGGGGAAAAAAATCAAATTGACGTTTGGCAAAAAGGCTATGGACTTTGAGTCCCTCGGAGGAATTGCTTTTCCAGGAACCGCGCGAATTCCCTCCAAAGAAACAAAAAGAAGGGGAACAAGGGAACTATAGAAAATTCTCTTAAACGTGTAGAAATTTTTGTATGAAAAAAAAGAAAAAGAAAAAAAAGAAAAAGAGAGGAGATGGGGAGAGTGGAAATGATGAAAGCAGACAGAGCCAATCATAAACATCTTCGTTGAATCCAAGAAATTGACTCTCCCAAGCAACGGTTGAGTGAAGAAAAGACATGCCTATGAACAAGTATTTCGTGTGCGTTTCTTTGTAATTATATAAATTTATATACATGTGTCTACATATTTAAAAATTTAAAGAGAGAGATAGTGAAAGGGTTAGTATTTTTAATTTAGATGGAATTAAATAATATTTGAGTCGAGCAAAGGGAGTTAGACATGATGTATTTGTGTATCGGACAAATTATTATACGGTGGAATATTTTGTCGTTATGTTATGTGTTTAATTTGTTAAAGACTTGTTTCATATTATTTTTTGGATTAATTTATACGTATTTTAACTAATTTCAGAATCTTAAAATTAACGATCAGGTAAATCTCTAGTGGTCTCAAATTTTGAGATATTTAGTTTTTGTAAGATTTGACCCTGCGACTTCTTAGATGATCATTTAATTGTCTCTCCTCTCAATAAGCCAAACTCTTTAAGTTTCATATCATCTTTTTAAATCACACAAATTTGATCCATATACTCTAAAAGTTCCTACACTCAAAAACCAATTGATTTTTTCGTTAAATATTTTCAAAAATTCTAACTTCTTCACATATGGAGGTGACAAAAATGAGAAAGGAGAAATAGATTCGAAAAGATGTTTGGAGAGGCAAACAAATTGAGTGAGCAATGTGCACAAAAATAGGCCAATAGAGTACACAATGATAAAGATAACAAGATGGAAAGATTTGAACTTAACCTCTCTTGGAATTAAAACTCTGATACCATATTAGAATTATTGAAATTATCTTACTCAAAACTAATTAATTTTGGGTAAAGAAATAAGTCTCTAACACAACCTTCGTGTGCAACCAGGGCCGGCCTTGGGGTGAGGCGACTAAGGCGATCGCCTCAGGCCCCCAATTTTGAACAAAATTTAGGGCTCCTAATTAGGGGAGTGTATCATATTGTGTTATTTTATAATTACTTCAATACTAACTCAATTCATTTATTATTATGTTATCGTATGGTGTTATTTTGATTCATGTTCGATTGATATTTAATGTGAAAACTTTTACTTTTAGTTAAAATTATCTTAGCAAGTGTATGAAGAGATTAAATTTTTTTCCATGAGTTGAATTTTATAAAATTTATTTCTACTAAATGAAATTATTCATAAAATGTTTGATTTTAATTCAATTGCCTTTTTCTAATTAAAAAAAATTGTACCTTATTAATATATATTTTTACTAGATTGACTCTAAAATAGATAATAAAAAAATATATATATCTTAAATGAAAAAAAGATATTAGACTTAATTATTATTTTACATACTTTTTTTTATTCAGTTAGATGGAGTAAAATAAAAGATTAAAAAAATGTCATGGCTTCCCTTAGTGAACATTAAAATATATAACTAATAATTCATATTATTGAGTCGTGTCATACTTGGATTCATGTTGAAAAATAGTCAACCTTAACTTGCTAATTTTATATATTGCTTAAGTTGTGTAAAAATTCTCATCCTTACTCCTAATTAATTTTAGTTCTTATAGCATTGGTAAGTTAAAAAATAAATTCAAATCAACTAATTGAAGTTCAACTATTATATATATATATATATATATATATTTGTTATATAAACTTTGTTAAATTGTAATACAATAGAAATAAATTTTTATCATTTTTATCCAAATAATTTTTTTTTAAATAATGATATATGAAGGGCCCAATTTAAAAAAAAAAATCACCTTAAGCCCTTAATAAGTCAGGGCCGGCCCTGTGTGCAACTCGATTGCATGTGAAAATGAAAGGTAAGAAAAATAGACTCAGGCGGAGACTTGACCCATTAAAAACCTTCTGAAGTCCAAGTCTAATAGAATGTTAGAATTTGTAGACATTTTCCCTTCTTTGCCTCTTTAGCTAATCTCTAGAATGTGAAAAATAAAAAATAATAATTTTATGTGGGTCTTGTGCAAAATCATTAGGCCCCTAAACAGCCACATTATCATTCATTCTCCACCCATAATGATACATCTTTTCCCCTCATATGGTCAGATTATTATAACGATTATTGTGTTGTAATGATATGATTACATTACACAAAACCATATGAGGAATCCATAGCCCTTCAGTAGTGCCCACTGGTTAAAAGGGTCTGTTGTACTCTCTAGGATGACCAAGTCTTAAATTTTATATATTATTGCATATGTAGTGATCCAATACATATATACATACATGTACTCTATCCATCCAACTATCAGAACAAGTAGTTGTGTACACAATATTGTTTTAGACCAAGTAAACGCTTGTATGAAGTATAGAAACTTATTCACATAGTTGTGAGCTAGATACTCACATGTTTGGATTCAGATATTTCCATGATTGGTAGGGCTATAAATGAATCGAATTATTCATAAATAGTTCAAACTCAACTCGTTCAAAGTACGTGTAAGTTCAATTACTTACTAAATAAACTAGCATGAGTCAAATTTTAAGTTCATTTAGAAATCAAGTTATGCTTGAGTAGATCTAAACTCAGCTCGAATAGATTCGAGTTCGATCCTTTAAGTTCAACTTGAGCTCTGCTCAAATTCAAACTCAAACTTGATCAATTTTCAACGAGCCAAGCTCGAACTCTCCAAAACTTGACTCGATTCGTTTGCAATCTTAATAGCTGGATTGGTTTTCTAGTGTTAGTGGTGTGGACATTTTCCAAGTTGCAATTGATTGGTTTTCAGGATGTTGCTTATTGAAGGGTAGTATCTGTACATATTATGTCAACAAATTGTGTGTGTGATGGGATATTTTCTCTTCTTTGATTAAAGAAGAGTGTTAACCAAGTTGAGAGCAATGGTTGAGAGGAGGACAAAAGGTTTGGAAACTGCCAGAACACTCAATGAGACCCCTGTGGTCCTCTCTCCTCTCATGAGTACATCCCAAGTTAATTTTCCATCACATTTCTCTCTCTCTCTCTCTCTCTCTCTCTCTCTCTCTCGTGTAAAAACTATGTTCATAAATATATTAATATAAAATGAAGCACACTTCATCTACATCACATTTAGAAGTTATAACAAAGCTGAAGTTTACAGAAACTTCTGTATGTAGAAAAAGATTGATATTTTTTTATGATTAATAGGAGAAGGAAATAAAAGCACCCCACAAGGGCACAATAATTATATATATATATATATATAGACAATGAGTTGTGCTAATAAGTTGGGTAGTGAAGGGCTGAGATGGGCCATCATTGTTGCAGCAAACAGAAAGTCAAGAGGGGGCTGTGGTCTCCTGAAGAAGATAAGAAGCTCATCACATACATCAGCAGCCATGGCCATGGCTGTTGGAGTTCTGTTCCTAAACTAGTAGGTATGAATTCTACTTGTTATTTCTTGTCTCATTTCAAGAGAGGGATAGAAGAAGGAAATCGAATACAGGTGCTGAGCTTGGCTGATCCCTAAGAGTCTGGTGTTATTTCACTGCACTATAGGACTTGCTCAAGATCTATTTTATACTTAGTATTGTCATTTCTAGAAATCAATGACTGGATTTTGGAACAAATATTGAGTTTAACGGTGACACAAGTTACGGACAAACAAAATATCAGAAAAAAGATTAAGTAGACATCGTTTGTCACCCACTAATCTAACTCTACACTACCGCAATATAAGATTTATCATTGATCGGTGATACTATTAATATTGTCATGTATTAATACCATTATACCCAATATTTGTTCTAATTTTATTGTTGAGATATTGCAGGCTTGCAAAGGTGCGGAAAGAGTTGCAGACTAAGGTGGATAAATTACTTGAGGCCAGATCTCAAGAGGGGTTCTTTTACTGAACAAGAAGAGAGAATCATCATTGATGTTCATAGAATTCTAGGCAACAGATGGGCTCAGATAGCCAAACACCTCCCTGGTAGAACTGACAATGAAGTCAAGAACTTTTGGAACTCATGCATCAAGAAAAAGCTCATCTCACTTGGCTTAGATCCAAACACTCACAATCTTCTCTCTCCCCATCAAACTACCACCAATGCAACCAAATACTCTCACAACAACCAAAAACAACAAAATACTTCTGCTTTCTCCATAACTTCCCACGGCAATGATGCTTCAATGGACACGAAAACACCTTTTGCAACATTTCCTTCTCTTCCATCTTCTCATACTAGTTCTACTTCTACCAATCCTAATAATCCTATCTCATTGTATGAAAACTCAACCATTACTACTGCTTCTACCTTTGAATACCAAAGCCCTAGAAATCAAATTGTGAATTCCTTGATGCACGCTTCCTTGCATCAGTTGGTATCAGAACCCTGTATCAAGTTTGCTAGGCGACCTTTAATGGAAAGGACACAATTTTTATCCTCTACCTCGAATCCATCCGGGTTCGGGGCTATAGATGAGAATTGCATGTGGGGTACTAATTCAGAACCCCTTGGAGTAATGCAGCCACAACAAGAGAAGACTTGTGAAGGGGATCAAATGGATGAAGTTGACATTAATATGGATAATTCATTGATAGAGAGCTCTAACTTCGATTTTGAGTTTGTGGAGTCGGGGCTTTTGCCTTGTGGAATGTATTGCAATGTGAGTCCTATGGATCAACTTGCATGGGATTGTTAATTTCTCATCGATATATTCTTTCTTCTTTTACTTTTTGGAGTCTCATAGTCTTCAAAAAGGGGTGGTGATAATCTTGAAATTTACAGCTATTGCAAAAGCAGTATCAAATGTTTATCTAGGAGCAATAATTCGGATTCAACATTTGCATCATAAAAGTCCTCCCTCAATGCGAGTGGTACGTGTATATAAAGAAGTGAGCCAAAAACCAGATGGAATCAATCAATGGAAGTCTGAAAGATGAATTTATGTACAAATATGCAATTTATTTAATTGGTTTATTTATGTTCTTGATCTCATTCATTGATAAAAGCTTTTCTTTTATTTTATTTTTTTTATTTTTTATTGGAGTTCATCGATGCATCATACAAGTACTAGAAAGCTAAACTAAGGGCATCCGCAGTGGAGAGTTTCTCTTCTTTCTCTTCTTTTATTTTTTAAGGAGAGTTTTAGTGTCAGTTGGTAAATTTTAACTAACAAAGTGTGTTGTTGGGTGCTGCAGTGGATCAGTTAGTGTGTGTGTTAGTGGTGTGCGTTAGTCATGTGTATTAAAAAGTTTGTTAACTGCGGCTAGCGCTTTTGCTAGTGCTTGGAAGTGTTTTGTTTGTCTTCCGAGTTGACCGGCCGGTTGACCCGGTCAACGGAATTATTATTATTATTTATTATTATTATTTTTTTTTTTCATGTTGGGATTTTTTTTTTTTTTTGACTTAAAATTTAATTTTGGGCTTAAAATTTTTGATTAAACTAAATTATTTATTTATTTCAGTTGGTAAATTTTAACTAACAAAGTGTGTTGTTGGGTGCTGCAGTGGATCAGTTAGTGTGTGTATTAGTGGTGTGCGTTAGTCGTGTGTATTAAAAAGTTTGTTAACTGCCGCTAGCGCTTTTGCTAGTGCTTGGAAGTGTTTTGTTTGTCTTCCGAGTTGACCGGCCGGTTGACCCGGTCAACGGAATTATTATTATTATTTATTATTATTATTTTTTTTTTTCATGTTGGGATTTTTTTTTTTTTTTGACTTAAAATTTAATTTTGGGCTTAAAATTTTTGATTAAACTAAATTATTTATTTATTTCATTTATTATATACACACATATTAACACACACCTTAACACACTCATTGCACCACCACTCACTCTTTAAAATTAACAAACTCTTAACACATCTTAACAAACATTTTTGGCCCTCCACTTTTATCACTTTTTGTCATATAACACACTTTAACAAACAATTTTGGCTATCCCATTGTGGATGCCTAAGCTACCTCCTGCCATAGAGACAATGCTAAAATGAGCCAGATCTTGCTTCCTAAAATATCTACTTTCTATTTTGGCCTTCTTTGCTTTCGGGTGTGGATGTAGGTAATCACGTGACACTTTTAGGCCCCCGTTTGTTTTAGGTTATAAAAAGGGTATTGGCACTAATGCCCTTCTTTATTTGCAGAGATAGTCTTGGGACTATTAGTCCCTTGGTATTACTAATACCCTTAGAAGGGGGATTGGTAAGAAGGAAGTAGAGATGGTATTAGAAAATAGTGAGGAGATTAGAAATTTTTTTATTTTTTATATATTGGGAATTTTTTTTTAATATAATGTTTAATTTTTTATAATTTTTTATTTTTTTTATTATTTTATATAAAAATAATTTAACAATTCCTCATTATTAATCCCCTCACTATCAATCCCTTCACTAACAATTCCCTCACTATTAATCCCCTCACTATCAATCTCTTCCATTCTATCTCTCAAAACAAACGAGGCCTTAGGGTTTAAAATTCTCACCCTCATCTTTGATGAAATACATTCAAGGACAAGTGAAAGTAATTAATTGTGGTATTATTACTTTCATAACTTGTAGGACAATAATTTGGTAGGTGGTCCTAATAGGACCACTTTTTTAAAAACAAAACAAAACAAAAATTCACACAGTTGTAATTTTTAGAAAGGGAGTTTTGATCTAAGTTCCTTCATTATAATTTTATACTAATATAAGGATATAAAACTTTAAAAAATAAATAAATAAATAAATAAAAACATTTTTTTAACTCCGTCCTCTAATATTTGAGAGGTCAATTAGTCCAACCCCACAGTAATGCTACAGTAGATAGTGTGTCTCGCATGTTTTAATTGATTTGAAAGATTTAAAAGTCAATATAATATAGATCTTCGTGATATATATCGAATGATAAATATGATATTATCAAGAAAAAAAATTACCTAGTTACGTTTTGTTTACTGTTACCAAATCAGTGAAATCAAATCAATGGCTAAAAATTGCAGATTTAAAGGTCTGGGTACCTAATTTTAAATGGAGATCTTCAAAATGACAAAATTAAAAAAATATATATATTCTTAAAAAGAGAAATTTCACTAACTTAAAATAAATAATTTTCTCCATTTTTATTTCGAGAATTAATCAGGTCATTTGCACTATTAGTGTGAAACCAAAGAGTTTCAACTTCTCCTGTTTTCTAATGGAACAATTTCCGAATGTAGCAACTTTCTTGACCCTATCATCTCTACACGAGAAGGCCATTGAACCGAGTTTGGGCTGTTGAATATACGACAATCACAAATTTTCCCAAGTTGCATGGCTTAGTTGCCAAATAAACACGAGTCCAAATATTCGTCAAAGGGCATTGAACGGAGTGGAGAAGGGGGTGGAGATGTTGCTAAGAAAGGAAGCATTTGGGCAGTGAGGGAAAGGGATTACTATAACATATAAGCGTTTTAGAGACTAAATGTTTTGGTTTCTAAAAGTGAAAATTTTGTTGTAAAAGATATTTAGGGATCAATTTTCATCGTCATGAAGATAGTCGCTAAAAGATCATCCTGAAAAGTCAAAAACTAGGCTTTTAGCGATAAAATTCTGAAAATGTCACTAATAAACAGATTTTTAGGGACAAAATAATAAGGTTTCAAATTGGTTTATTTTTTGAGACAAAAAATTTGGTCCTAAAAGGATTATAATTCATCACTAATCTCTAATTTTTGTTGTCAAAAATATAATAACAACATTTTTCGTAAATTTTATTCCTAAATTTTAATTTCTAAAATTTTAATTTTTTTTGTAGTGATGGTGAACCGGTGAGCCGATAAGAAATAAAGTTCAATTTTTTAAATTGTGTCATTCTGATTTCAAAAACACAAAATGTGTCCTAATTTGGTCCCCAAATCTATAGGCTCAAGTTAGCCCACAGGCTTTCTTATTGAAGCCAAATTATCTTTGGGCACAAGTTATGAAGGCCACATATTAAGAACTGTGGTGGCCCAAGAAGCCCAAGCGAGACGACTCATTTGATTGACAAAGGTTTTATTTAATCCCAAATAATTTTTTTTAAAAAAAATGCCAATCTCTAATCTCATCATCAATTATTCACAACTTTTGGTAAAGCATTTGTAACTAGACTTGTGGCAACAGCACACATCTCTCTTTGCCCCTCTCTTTTTGTCTTGTCTTAGCCCCGTTTAGAATTTGATTATTTTAATTAATTTTTTTAAAAAAATTTTATCAAAATATTTATATAAATCAAAAATAATAATATAACAACTTATAATAATTTTTTTACTATAAACCAAACTTTCCAAACGATATCTAAATGTATGAGAGTAGTTGTAGGGTTGTAGCATATTGTTTGCTTTTTGGCAATCAAAACATCATTTTGTCCTCTCCTTTTCTGATTTTGGGGTTTTATTTCTTCAAGAAACTTTTGTGCTGTTAGGTTTTGTTAATCAGCAATATCATTGGACAAAATTTCATTCAGTGTATTTTTATTCACTCTATTGTATTTGTGAGTTATGAAAGTTTATATGTGAATCCAACTCGAGTTACGTCTAAGTAGAAGAGTTTGTACTGGATCCATATCTTATTTTGAGCATTTCTTATTTGTCACTTCACTAACTACGGGGATCCAAAGCCAAGAAAGAAGTCAAAGTTGATTAACCGCTCGAGCAGCTTTTTGTGCACTCGAGCGGTAAAGTGGTTCAGCCAGTATCTCTACTTGCATTCTGAACTTCTAGGAAACATACATTACTGATTGAGCATAGATGTTGTACTTGAGCGGTTGGCATATATGTGAACACCATCTTTAGTAACACCACTCAAGCGATAAAGTAAGCGCTCGAATGATTTTCGTAGCTCTATTTAGTATAAAGTGAGTTAGTTTAACCCGTCTAGATTTTTAGAGAGGATGAGAAAACAAAGTGTTTTATATTAGAAAGTGTTTATGTATTGTTTTCCTTAATAATTTGAGGGTGATTGATCAACGAGTTTCATATTGACTATTATCAAGGGTTGGTTTGTTCTTTTATTCACAAAAAGAGAGAAGTGTTTCTCAATAGATTCTGGGGAACTTAGGTCTGAAATTTTGATAGATTCTAGAGTAGCTCAACATCGTAGATTTGGCATCAGCATTGTTGATTCAATGTTGAGCAAAGCAATTCTGAGGTGAAAACTGTGGTGCACATCGAGTTTAGTTCAATTCGAACGTGAATTTGCTAAATAATTGAAAGTTCTTCTGTATAATTCATTTTTGTTTTCTCGGTGAATTGTTTTGTAGTTTTGGCTTATGATTTTTTATCATAATTAAAGAAGTCCAATTGTGATTTTTTTTACGTTAAATTGTTATGCCCATTTGTTGTTAATTATTGATTAAAATTGCTTTTCGTTATTTTAAATTAAATCAAGATCACAAATCACTATTTCGAAATTTTTTAGAATCAAAACCATATTGATAATTATTATTATTATCATTTATCTTAAAACCATGTTAATAACTTTGTCAACGACAACCTGTAGGAACAAACCTCAAATAAAACTACCATGAAAAACATCAATAGTCTTAGTCATTCATAAAAAGGGATGAGGATTGCTTGTCTCCTTTAATAAAAGCAATTAAAAAAAGTAGTCTTCTTGCTTTACTACAAAAGTAAACTTGAGGTTTAACCTGTCTCCATGAATTCTAATAAGAGCCGTGCTTCCGACCCCAAAAAATAAATAAATAAATAAAAATAGTTTTTTTTTTTAACTAATCGCACGCAACCCCTAATACCCCACTGAAGGTCCGAAGCTTTTTCCTTCTAATAATAGAGAAGATTAATCTGCAATTTTAGAAAAATTTTATTTTAATCATTGTATTTTTAATTTTAGGATAAATTACAAATTCACTCCCTGAGATTTGATTAAAATACAAATCGCCCCCTGTGATTTTGAAAATTATATTCCATCCCCTAAGGTTTCTAATTTCATAACAAATCGTCCTTTTTATTAATAAATCATCAAATCAATTAACAATTTTTAATGATGTTAAAAATATATTTCAATTAATAATTTAGCTAATTTTATTATAGTATACGAGAACAATTATGAATTTTATTTTTTTAGTTAATTCTGTTAAATAAAATATTCTAATAAGGGAGTATTTGTAATTTCTCAAATCACAGGAAACAATCTGTATTTTAAGCAAACCTCAGGGAGTGTAATTGTAATTTACCAAAATTTTATTAATTTTTATATTTTTAATTATATTTAAAAGTGATTTTTTTTTTGTCACTTACCGTTAATTTTGACCCCAAAAAAAGTGGCGTGCAACTCAATTGGAATTTTAGTGATTCTCACATAAGAAATAAACAAACAAATTACACTGTTAATCCCCATAATTTCTTCTCAGTTTAGTCCCTTTATTTTCGCACATAGTAATTTTATATTTTGTCTATCATACATATAATATTATATTCATTACCATATTTAGGATTATCATACTTGGGTTTCTCTCATCTTATATAAAGAAATCTTATATACATTGTTACATAATTATTTAATATAATATTGAATATATACATCATATAATATTCTCTTTCTGTTTCTTAGATATTATAACAAATAATATAGACTTTACAAATTATATAATCAAAATTATTTTATGTGAGTAGTTCTATGCTCTTAATTATCATAATGACATTACCAAACATTAAAAAAAAAGAAAATTAAAAAAGAAAGGAAAATATTAGAAACAGAGATAATGAGTACATCAATATAATCTATACATTCTCATAGTCATATGATTAACTAAACTTTACATCATGGTTGAAGAAACACAAACTACAGCAACATGAGGAAGATTGGTTTTTCTCTTTTTATAGGCTCTACTTTTTGATGTTGCTTACTCACTCACTCACCTATTTGAAATGGGATTAGGACCACTTGGAACTTCATGCTCACTGAAGCCTGGTTCTCTCCATGTCTGTCGCGGTGGCTTTCGACCTATCGGAGTGACTTCCATTGTGTTACTCTTCAGATTGTTGCTTCCATGTCTTTTAGAACCATCTCTGGTGGCGGTGACGGTGACGGTGGTGGTGGGGATCATGAGAAGAAGAATGAAGAGGAGGAGGAGGGTCAGTGAGAGTGAGGGAGGATAGAGAGAGATGGAGGTGGAAGAGTTCATTTTACAAGTGGTGGTAATGCCATAAGTTAAGTACTATAGCCACACAAAGTATTCAACATTTGGGTACTTAAATTATATGTTTGTTTGGCAAGGTGAGAGAGCTGAGAAGTAAAAAACTTAGCAAGCAAGTAGAGGTAAAGAGTTTGGAACTTTGGGGAGAGGGAGAGGGAGAGAGAGAGAGAGAGAGAGAGAGAATCAAAAGAGGAAGTGAGAAGGAGACAGATCGGTTGCTTTCCATTTGTCGGTAGTGGTGAGGGTGAAAGTAAAGATAAATAAATAAATAATCAATATTTGAGACTCTTCAAAAAGAATTTTCAAATTAGGTGTGCATTTTGATTTGTCAAAAAATTTAAATAATTTTGTAAATTTTGAGACTCTTATCTTATTCAGAATTTGTTTTTTTAATTTTTTTTTTAAAGTTACAAACTAATTTAGTGGAAAAAATAATAAATAAAAAATACTCAGTCATTTTTATATAATTTTACATTTTTTATAGTAAAAATAGTTGTTAAAAGTTCAAAATTTTCACTTTGATATTTAATTTTGTCAAACTAATTTTTATATTATCAAAAAATTTCTAAACACTGATTTTGGAACTGAAACTAAGCAGATTTATAAACATTACCAAACAATTGAAAAATATTTCATAAAATATTTCATAAAATATTTTAATATTTAAAATATTTTATAAACATTACCAAACTAATATTTAAAATTTAAAATTTAAAATATAAAATATGAAACTAAGCAGATTTATAAACTAAGCAGATTTAACAATAGTTGTTAAATTATTGTTGAACATGTATATATATATAACTTACCACTCATTGCGAATTTACCCACCTCATTACTTAGCGGTTTTCCTTTTCTCAAACTCTGAGTAAGTTAAATATATAAATTTTCATTTACAAAAAAAAAAAAAAAGGTGGCCATCGTCTCCTAGGAGGAAGATCAATTAAGTGGAGCCCATGGAAAGGGATTGGTAGTTTGGTTGGAAGCAGAGACATACAAATCAAAACAAACAATTCTTGGCTTCATGCATAATGTACACACACACACACACAAATTCACAGTCAGTGCAAAAGCTGGCAATGGAAAAAGAAAGCGAAACAACAGAGAATTCAGAAGAACAGAGACTAGCTTGTTCATGTGTCAATTTCAATCAATTGCCTATTTTAGATTCACAACTTAATGATTATGCATTGTTAATTGCAACTATTAAATCTTTATAATCATTTTTTCTTCCTATCCTATGAATATGTGATAGCCACGTGAGTATGTTTTAAGAACATTATAGAAAGAAAAAAAAAATTAACAATTTTAGCCTTTCAATCTTCATTTAAATTTTACTTGGTCATTTTTGTTTTAATTTTTATTTAAATTTTAAACGGTGGAGTAACGGAAGGATTATATTGAAACCCATGATGAAATCTAAAAATTTTATTGTTACAATTAAGTAAAATTCAGGTAAAACTAGAAGGTGAAAAGTGCAATTTACTCTAAAAATATTAAGAAGCTATCTGCAATTCGAGACCAAAAAGTGTAGGTAAAAAGAAAAAAAAAAATTTCTCGAAATTGTATTTTAAAAAATTATTTGTAGCCTACGTTTATTCTAAATATATAAATATATAATAATTAAATCTGAATCATGCACTATATTTTTAAATAAAATTTTAAATTTTTTTTTTTTTGAGTACCTAAACTTGTTGATTACCGACAGCCTCCCCAACAGTTTTGTCAATAAGAATCAGAACCCTTTATATAAAAATTTTTAATGTTTAATTTATTTCATGTACTCTGCACTTTATGGAAAATAATAATAATAATAATAAATTATCATAGGAATATTTAATCAGACTTGCCATTGAATGTTCATATTTTGTCTGTGAAAAGAGCCTCCATCTTAATTAACAAATAAAAATTCAACATGATTGAAAACCTTCAACTCAATTCATCTCAAACAAACAACGGTTAATCATAAAAATTTGTTAATCATAAAAATTAAGCTCATTTTATAAACTTTAGTAATATTCTCAATATATATATTTCAGTCAAATATCCAGTGTTTTAGGTTATACAAATGAAAGCAGTAGGGCTGTTCAAAAATCCGTTCAAACCGGTAATCCGGACCGAACCAGACCGAATCGTACGATTTGGTTCGGTTCTATTAAGAATTGGTTTGGTTTCGGATTAAGAAATATGAGAACCGTAAAAACGGTTCGGTTAATGGATTTTATAAAAAAATCGCGGTTCGAACCGAACCGAACCAAATTTTAAAAGATATATACATATATATAATATCAAGTTTTATTTTTATTAATTGGTTTTTTATAATTTTAATGATATTAGGATGATATAGATATGTAATATTAAGTAATGCCTTAATATTATTAGTTTTTATCATGAGTTAAATGTAATTAGTTTGAGTAATTATTTTGCTAATATTAACAATTTGTTTTTGTAAATAGAAATTTTTGGAACCGTAAACCAAACCGAAACCGAACCGTTTTTTCGGTTTGGTTCTGGTCCGGTTTTACAAGTGTAACGGTCTGGTGTGGTTCTCAAAATCACAGAACCGTTAGGATTGGTTCGGTTCTTAGATTTTCTCAGAACCGAATCAATCCGGACCGTGTACACCCCTAGAAAGCAGTCAACAAGAACGAATTTAAAAAGAAAAAAAAAATTTGACAATCCTTATTCTCGATTGACGTAACACTAATAATGATAGGAACAAAAAAATTCAAATACAAAAAACGAAAATGTTTTGTACCTCAAAATTTTGTGGTTCAAATGGTTTAAATTTGTCAAAACGACGACGTTTTACACTCATTTACTTTCAAAACGAAAGTCGTTTTGAGTCATTTGAGTCATTTGAGCCACAAATTTTTGAACTACCTAACATTATTGTACAAAAAAATATTCAAAAAAATAGTGTGCAGCCAGATTCAAAATCTATATTATGGGACTTACACTTTTTTTCTTAATATTTTTCTGTGTTTTAATTTTTAGTCCCTAACATCACTGAAACTGGACCGGGCTTCTAGTAAGAAGGATTGACATAGTTGCAATTCGCTCGGATTTCGCCTCCGTCTTCACTGGAGTAGTCCTGAATGTTTCCAAGCTTGGCCATCGACACCGCCATCTGGGAGTAGAAAACCGGGGGCTGGGTAGCCATTGCTGTCACAAGAGGGAAAGTTCTAGAATCAGAGTAGAGAATTTGATCAGTGGGTAGGAGTCCCATGTTGTTTTCAAGGTTTTTGTAGTATTCAATATCAAAGGTCTTTGGGGTTGTGGCATCAAGGTCCACATATTCCGAGGCCCATCTGCATTTTCTCCTCAGGTAGTTCAAGTATTGTGGGTTGATTGACGGGTCGGGTTGGCCTGTTCCCTGGAAGTTGTATAGCCTGTATTGTAGTGCACTGCAGGTACTCCGTCCTATGGTGTGCATTCCTGAAAAACCATATGACCAAGTAATCATAAATACAAAAGGAACATAGAAATGGTAGGAATATATATATAGACATTAGATATTGACAATCAACATGGAATTCACATGAATAGACAAATTTTATTTAAATTTATAAGTAAAAACGGCGGATACAAAGAGGGGCCACAGCTGTCCCAAACTTTTAAAAATTTCTCTCATAATGTTATACGTTAATTTTTAGGTGTTTGTGATACAAAATAGTATTTTAACGTATGAAGTATAATAGATTTTACATGTGGTCTCTCCAAACTTCAACAATTCCACTTAGGTCTTATAGGGTTTTTTTTCAATGTTATCATACAAAATAGTATTTTGGTTCTTAAAAATCTAAGAAAGCTTGCTTGAACTATCCAAAATTTTCATTTAGGTCATATACCTTTTTTGGGGGTATTTATGGATACTATTTTAGCCCCTCCCAAATTTCTAGATTTGTTCTTTGTTAGTGAGACCTGCTTGTAGAAAATCTTATTTCTTTATGCACGTTTTGTATCTGATGATTTATATATATCAAGAAATTAACTTATCTATGTTATTTTAAGAAATTGGATTAGGGGTACAGGGGATAATTAATACCGCAAATTTCTTATTTCTCCTTTTATTATATATAATTAAGGAAATGTTAAGATACACACTTCACACCCCTTAAATAGTGTATACCATATGCATCTTATAACTACAGAATAAAATGGCATAACTCATACTTTTTTTATTCATAACTAAAATCAAATAAAATAAAAAAGTCATAACTAAATATCTCAAAATAATATCATAATTCAAAATTAATCATAACTAAAGAAAAAAATAACGTAACTAAAAATACATATGATATAAGATGTGTATAATAAAATTCTCCATATAATTATTAGATGGGACTATATATCTAAGAAAATACTTGAGACTCTCGCTATTTTTGGCCCTCACAACCCCCAATTGATTTGTAACCACATATTATTTTTTATTTTATTTTTTTCTCTCCGCTCTCTCCTCCCTCTCTCTCTCTCTCTCTCAAATGTTTAGGGGTGTTGGGATGCTGGGGTCTGGATCATTTCCCATATATCTATATATATTATGCCATTGTTTGATTCAAGAGAGTTAAAAGCTAGAATCATATTTGAATTATTATTTTTGACCGTTGAATAGTGAATGGAAGATAATCCACAGGAAACTAACTGCCCCAAGGGACAGGATTCAATAGTCCTCTGGGGATTAGCAGTCCGAACCAAACTAAAAATTTGGCTAAATAAACTTCGAATTAGGGAAAACAACAATGATTCATCCCCCTTTTCTCCCACCCCCTTGACCACCCCTCTCTCTCATTGGTTACATTTTCTTTTTCTTTTTCTTTTTTTTCCTGCTCCTCCAATCACCACCCGCCACGTGACAAAGGGAGAGTGAGGGGGTGACCCCCAAAAGGGGGTCCCAAGCATTATTCTAAGGAAAAATTGTGTAGGTGCATGAAAGAAAATTGTGTAGTTGGCTCACCTGAGAGGACAACCAAATCAAGAACATTCAAGCCCTTGGACTGGAAAAACTCAATAAGATCAGTGACCTTTTCATGACCCATTGGCACCATTTCCGCTTCAGCAGCATGAGAGACTCGACCATCTTTCCTTCCATAAGGTACCATCCAGAAGGGACCTCCGACCTCAACGGTGGCTTCTCTTGCCGCAGATGTTAGAATGTCCGCGCAAGACACTGTCTTTGGACACTTCTTCTCAGTCTCTGCTTTTATATCGTCGATCACTTCAAATCCCCTCAATGTCTTGCTTGCATTCGCTTTCCTCTCACTTCCATCGTAGTCCAGTAGTATCGAACCATCACATCCCTACAATTTTGCATACATATAACAAAATTTTAGCATGTCTATATAGATAGAATTAACAAGAATGTACGTGTCAGCATCACAAAATATTCATTAGTCTTGTTAAAATAATGAAAATATCAGTGAATGAAGATATATGTAGTGGGCTCCACTATTTTGACATTTTTGATATTTTCTAATTTAATTTTGTGTAAGTCTTAAGGGTAATTTAAAAGTCTAAAATCTACATTAACGGTGATAGAATTATTAAAGACATCTAACTCAAAATCAATTGATAATGGGTGGAGGGGTCTCTCGATCTGCACATACAATCCGATCACATGTGGAGGTGATATAGAGGCAAGAGAAATGCACTCAGAGCTTCGAATTAGCCCATGAGAGACCATCCAAAATATTCGTTTGATAACTATGTTAAAATTATTAGAGATATTCAATTCAAAATTAATTGACAACCAATGAAAGGATCTTTTGACTATATGAATTAAGTTTTATAGCTTATAAAGATGATATGAGACAAGTCTCTACACACAGAATTAATTACAAAAATTTATTGGCAATGTACACATCAGCCTAATGGGATCGACATTTTTTATTTTTATTTTTATTTTTTGGAATTTAATTATGTCAACTATATTGTAATGAAAAAGGAAATTAAGACATACCCTGATGGCACAATCATGGAAGTGAAGCCTAATGAGACTGGGTGCAATGGTGGAGTCTTATGAACCCATTTCTTAACTTTCTGGGCTGATGATTAGCTTCAACACCAGGGCAGCTCTCATCATAGTATGGAAATGACAGGTCATCCACCATAGACAATATATCCTGAGTCATCTTGGGACTCTTCAGAGATGGGTCTATTTTTTGGGGATCATATGCATATGAAGCTGAGACTGAGACTGATGAAACAATGTGAAGAACAAGAAGGATGATAGCAAGGAAGGAGATAGGGGAATTCATGATCATATCTTCTTCAATTGAATCAGTCTCAAGCCAATGCAAATAGAGGAGCTTGCTGTGTTTTTTTATTTTTAAAGTGTTGATGTGTTTGATTTATATAGATATAGATATAGATTGCACGTTGTTGCATAGAAAGATGTTGGAAGAACAAAAAAACTACGTGAGACGCACCATTGGAGAATGACGTGCTAACATGTTTGAGTTGAGTAATGCACTTTATATATATACATATAGTTAAAGCAATGTGACCACCAAGCTGGATGCTCCAAAAAAAATTTAATAATAAGATGCTAATGTTATCACTATGGGAGACATATTTTCAGCTTGCGACTTGAAAAATTATTTAATATTTTTAGAGTCATGTTTTGCCTCTGTTGTTAATCGGTATTTTTTATTGTTTCTCAAAACTATAACAAAAAAAGGTAATGGGTCTTACTGTATGTGGTATGTATCATCTAACCAAGTTGTCAGTTCGGTGGCAACAATTCTACATATCACTAGAAAGAATTTTTCTTATATTTATTTGGGGATTCTCTTTCTATCTTTAATAGTTTATGTATTTGTAATAATGATAGACTGTATTTGATATCCATTATGATTGTATTTTTCTTTTTCTTTTTTTTTTTTTTGATTGGCAAGAGATAATTTAAAAATATGATGAAACTTGCATGAGATTGGACATTCATGTTTGTGATGATTTTTTTTTATATATTATATTTAATAGATAAATTACTAATGTAAGATGGAAACTTACATTAAATTTGACATTCAATAATGGTACCTTGTACAACAATAGTATATCTACTGAATTTTGAGTCGTTCAAATTATTTGAATTTGTGTATGTCAGTCATCCGAGTAGTCGTCCTGTCAATTATTCAAGAGAATGCTAATCATCCGAACGGATGCCAATTGATACACTGAATGACAAAAGTGACAGTTGTAATTGAAAATAGTGACACCGATCGTCCAACCACGTCATTCAAGTGGAATCAAACTAACCTCTATTTCCGTGGATCAAGCATGTACTCAACACTCACACAAGAAAGATTCCAAACGATTAATGAGAGCCTTACAAAATTTTATCATTGGTCTATGACTGTAAAGTGCATGGTGTCCCATTTACTTATTTTTAAACTTTTAGGCTAGAAAACATATCTGCCCACGAGAGGTTGGGCTCAGGACCAATGCATCGGGTTGGGATTTTTGGGCCATGTTGAATTTTGTATACCTAGGCCCAAGTCTGCTTTAAGGGTGAGGACTAAGGATGGGCCAGCACCAAGAGGCCCAAAATTTAACATAATTACATTTACTTCTCTTAAAGATTTGGCCCCGGTTTGGCATTCATGTTGGGGTTAAATAATCACAAAAAGATAAAATTGACTATAAAAACTAATAAGACAAAATACTATTTTTTACCAATAATCATTACACTTTTTTTCTTACAAAAGTCAAAAAAATCCCAAAACAAAAACCAAACGAAACTAAAAAAATCAGACTAAAAAAGTCACAACACAAAAAAGTTAGTTATATTAGCCAATGCCCAAAGAGCTTTTAAATTACTAAGACTATATGATGTTTTCAGATTTGGAGATGAATTTGAAGAGAGAAATGAAAAATATAAATAAAATGTAAATAAAATATAATTACGTTTCACACACCACAACCTAATACTTTATCTCATTTTAATTAGTAATTCAGTATGCATATGACTGGGAAAAAAAATAATATTATCATATATTTTTTTGAGATAATCTTTTTACTTTGTTTATCCATCCATATATATGTATATATATATATATATATATTTTTACTACACTCCATTTGTATTGATGTTATTAAAAGAAATATTGTTGTAATTATGTTAAATTTGTGAAATTTATTATAATTGTTTTGAATCTCAAGGGTGGCCAGTGTAATTACCCTATGTATAGATCCGTGATGTTGCTCAAATGGACTTGAGAGGGAATCAAGAGGAATTAAGGTGCCGACATGATTGCTAAGAAGAAAGTAGTTAAAAGCCTCAAGAGATACTCGGTGAGTTATGAGAACGATCAACTCAAATCTCATTAGAAATCTCTAAAATTGGGTTTAAGCAATGGGAACATGCTCTTGTGGGTTATTTTATTGATAGAAAATTGTCTTTCTTCCAAGTGAAGACTTGGGCTTACAAGTTGTGGAGGGAAAATCTTGAAGAGGTTGTAACCTTAGATAATGGCAACTTTGTTTTCAAGATGAAAAATGAAGCTTTAAATCCATTCTTGATGAGGGGCCTTATTATATTGGGAGCAAATTGATTGTTATTAAGAAATAGCACCCCGATATGATCCTTACTAAAAATGTATTCTCAAGTATACTGATACGAATAAAATTTTTCAATGTGCCGCTTAAACATTGGGCTGAGGAGGGATTGAGTTACATAGCAAGTTTTATGGGTAATCCATTGTACTTTGATGAATTTACTCAAAACCATAACCGGTTAACATTTGCTAGAATTTGTATTGAGATAGAAGTTACTAAAGATATTCCACCCTCCTTTGTTGTAAACTTAGGATATGAAGAACCATTCGAAATCAAAGTAGAAGTTCTTTGGAAAACCCCAAGTGCATGGAGAATGCAAAATATTTTTGTCCATATAAACCAAGAACTCAAGCTCCTAGTAAACTAAAACAAGAGTGAAAGGTCAAAGAAGTGGTCAAGACAAATGAGGAAGGCAAGCCAAGTGAATAGGTAGAAGTGAAAAAAAAAAAAAAAAAAAGCAAGGACATCATTCAGCATGCTTGGTTATCATTTTTCAAAAACACTTTTCAGAAAATTCTACTTTCTTATTTTTTGTGTTTTTTTTTTTTTTTGTTTTTACTGAATTTTTTTAATATTTTGAGTAATTTTTTTAATTTTTAGACATACCTAACATATATATATATATATATATATAAAAATTCACTAAATACCAAAAATACAAAAAAAAAATACCAGAATTCAGTGAATTTTTTATATTTTTATGTATTTATTAATTTTTTAAAAAAAATTTTACAAATTTTTTACTTTTTAGATACATCTAAGTAAGGTGCATCTAAAAAAGTAAAAATTAAAATTTTAAAAACATTCACTAAAAACAAAAAAATATGAAAACCAAAAAACTAAGTTTTCAAATAACTTAATTCAAAAAACTCAAACCAAACACGCTGATTAATGCTCCTATGGGTAACTTTGTTCCTTCACCTCCTCCATCTTGGTCGAATGCATTTGATATTCCCAATACTTGTGTAGCCAATAAGGAGGTTTCTTTTTGTACAGATCTTAAGAGCATGCTTAATGCGAATCACTCCTCTTTGAAAGTGAGTAACCTCTCGAAAGATATTCCAAATGAAAATGCTTCAAAAGAAAAGAAAGAAAATTGTCAGGGATGTAGGTAATATAAATGAGTTAGCCCCTAGACGATCTTCACATTTCAAAGAAGCTCGTCAATCCCTTTTGGATGGAACATTCATTGTTCCATGGACAAACCCATCTTCAAAAGTGGAAAACAAGAAAAGGCTCTTTGAATGAATTGCTAATCCTAAAGTTGCTCAAGATGTTAGGCACTCTATCAAGTCTAAGAAATCAAGTCACAAGGCTTCTATAAAATCGTAGGCATATCCATTGATTGTGGCTTGGCCTAGCTTTTCTCCTTGTATGTTATTGTTAGATTTTAGTGTAGAAGTTAGGCATGCGTTTTTCCCCCTCAAAGGATGTGTTGCCTCTGGATGTATAATGAGACTCACTGTAATATTTATTTTTTGGTATAAAATTTATGACTTACCTAGCCGGGAAAAAAAAAAAACATGACTGCTATTAGAATTATTAGAGATATTGAAATCAAAATCAGTTATAAATAAATGAGCCTTCAAAATATATGAATCAAGTTTATGTTGTTTATATAGACGAGATGGTACAAATTTCTACCAACTGCAATGGTGGAATTGGATGCCCTTGCATAATACACCTCTTCTGATTTACTGTTTAAATTTTGTCCAATTATCCTACTCATCTGAAAATTTGAATTTTGCGAAAAAACATTTGACAATTTGGTCGAATTACATCATTGTATATTCAGTTCAAATACCAAGGGGGGTTACAGTTGGAAAGTGACAATTCATAAAAGATTAAAATTTGATCATATTTTGTTGCCTTCCTAGGGCGTCTTCTAATGCACATCATAATCTTGCTGAATGCCGAAGTGTACAATAGGAATAGGAATAGGAATAGGAATAGGAATCTAATTTATTCCACTAATTATCATTGTGTTTTTTAAAATAGATGATTTTGTTTTTGTTGATGTATATGATAGTGTGAACCATCTTTTGTCAAACAGACTTTCTCTTGAATCCAGAGAATAAAGGATTGTCATGTTCATACACAGCAAAAAAGTATTGGAAAAAAAACCCCATATAAGATCACCATTGATGATTATGTACTTGTTGATGAGTCCGTGACCCCCCATTGTCAAACAGAATCACCACCAGAGAGAAAAATTAGAAGACGAATTTTATTTTCTTTCGGATGTGTTCTGGTTGTCTTTAGCCCAGTATTGGCCAATGGCCACTATCAGACTGAATGGGTGTTGGGCCCTTAATGACTCACCATGAGTCTTATGTTATAATCCGAAATATTTCTTTTGTTGTATTTTGTGGGAAGGTCATCTATAAAAAATTTAAAAAATTAAAAAAAAAAATCATATTGATTTGATATTTGTAATTACAATATGTTATTTATTTATTTTCAAAAAATTTACAAAATAAATAGTTATGACTATTCATTTATGTGAATAAGGTATGGATTATGAAGGGGTGATTTGTTTATTTATTTATTTTTGCTTAATTTAGATAGGGGGAAAAAAAGTATAACAAAAAATCAACGAGATTTAAGTAAGTAGATTGTTCCAGTCAATTAGCCTATGATTCTTATATAAAAACTCCTAAAATTTTCATTTTCTGTTCTTTCTTGAGTCCACTTCAAGACT